TCGCCGTCCACGCCATCGACGACGGCGAGGAGTGGAAGGCGTTCACGGCGGCGCTGACGCAGTTGGGGTACGTCGCCGGCGAGGTCGACGAGCTGCTCGACGCGTGCTGCGGCGTCCTCCTGGGCAGCCGCATCCACTTCGCCGAGGGCGCCGAGGAGGGGTCCAACGTCGTCGGCGACCTCGACGCCGGCGGCAAGCGGCACCGCCGCGGGTCCGCGGTCGCGGGCCACGCGATGGACGCGTGCTCGGCGGCGCGGGAACAGAGTGCTTCACGTTCGCTTCAACATGAGTGTTCCGCGCGCGCGCGTGCCGGAAAAAGCATCCACGCGTCGAGAGCGCTCCGAGAGATGATCGCTCGTCCAAAAATGAGCCGAAACGAGTGGAAAGAGATAGGAGCCCCCAAAGTTGGGACTTGCGCACTCGTTTCCCGCGCAGGTGCTCCGAGTGCGCGGAGGCCTTCGGCGTGTCCCACGACGCGCTCGCCGAGTGCCTCACGCACCGCACCATCAGCGTCGGCGGCCAGGCGCTCAAGGCCAACCTGAACCCGGCGGACGCCGAGGACTGCCGCGACGCGCTGGCGAAGCACGCGTACGGCGCGCTGTTCCGCGCGACGGTGCAGCGCGTCAACGCGGCGCTCGCGTCCGCGTCGACGAAGAAAGGCGGCGTCGACTACAGCATCGGCGCGCTGGACATCTTCGGCTTCGAGATCTTCGTGCGCAACTCCTTCGAGCAGCTCTGCATCAACTTCTGCAACGAGAAGCTCCAGCAGCACTTCACCAAGCACACGTTCGACCAGGAGGTCGCGGTCTACAAGGCCGAGGGCGTGCCCTTCGCCGAGATCCACTACATCTCCAACGCCGACGTCATCGAGCTCGTCGAGCACCGCGCGCGCGGCATGTTCCGCATGCTCGACGACGAGGTCCGCGCGCCGGGCGGCTCCGACAAGCAGTACGTGTCGAAGCTGCACCGCGCGCTCAAGGACCACGCGCGCCTCGGCTTCGACAAGCGCAACCCCGACGTCTTCCTGCTCAAGCACTACGCGGGCGTCGTCAAGTACGAGGTCGAGGGCTTCCTCGTGAAGAACAAGGACCGGCTCTACGACGACGTCGCCGACTGCATGTGCGCGTCGTCCAACACGCTCGTCGCGAACCTCTTCGCGCCCGACGGCCCCGTGGGCCACAAGAAGGGCTCCAAGGTCACCTGCAGCGGCCGCTTCGTGAGCCAGCTCGGCGACCTCATGCGCCTGCTCAACGACGCGGAGCCGCACTATATTAGGTGCATCAAGCCGAACAAGGCGAAGAAGCCGGATCTGTTCGAGGGCACGATGTGCTACGACCAGCTGAACTTCGCGGGCGTCTTCGAGGCCGTCACGATCCGCCAGCAGGGCTACCCCTTCCGCTGCTCCCTCGCGGACTTTTACCGCCGCTTCTGGCTCGCGGCGCCGCCAAACACGCGCGGCCGCGGGGGCCTCCCCGCGCCGCGCGCGGTCATCATCGACGACAAGCCGGGCAAGCGCCGCAGCGTCGCCGCGCTCCTCGGCGAGCTCGAGAAGACCCAGAAGGCCGGCGAGCCCCGGGTCTCCGAGTGCAAGGTCGGCGCGTCGCTCGTGCTCTGGCGGTCGCCGCAGCAGCAGCCGCTGCTCAAGATGCGCAAGAAGGTCGAGTTCTACGTCGCCCTCATCATCGGCACGGGCGCCCGCGCGCGCCTCGCGAGGAACCTGCGGCGCGTCCTCGCCTTCGCGGCGGAGCGCTACGCGGAGGCGAAGCGGAAGAAGGACCCGGAGCTCGTCGACGCCGCGCTCGCCCAGATCGGCACGCCGCGCTTCGAGAGCCGGGACCTGCGGCGCCTGCGCACGCTCAAGGAGAAGCTCGCGCGGGAGAAGGAGCTCGACGCCAAGTTCGAGGAGCTCGCGCGGCGGTCCATCGACCAGGTCGACGACCACTTCGAGGCGCTCGTCGAGGAGGGCCGGCGCCTCGAGCTCGACAGCGCCGTCTTCAAGAAGGTGGACCAGATGTACGCCATGGTCGTCGAGCGGCGCCGCGCCGTCGAGGGCGTCCGCGCCGCGACGGCCGCGCCGGGCGAGCCCGACGAGGCCGCGCTCCGCGAGGCGCTGGGCACGCTCGAGCGCCTCGTGCGCATCTACGGGCGCAGCGCCATGGGCGCCCCCGAGGAGGCCGAGGGCCGGGCCTTACTCAAGGCCCTCGACGAGGAGAAGGTGCGCCTGCGGGAGCTCGCGGCCGCGCACGACGCCGCGCGGATCCCGCCGCGCGCGTCGCTCGACTGGTTCGCGTCGTCGCCCGCGGAGCTCGCGCGCGCGGCCAAGGCCCTGGAGCAGCACCGCCTCGAGGCGTCGGGCGTCGCGGCGAAGCTCGGCGCGGCGCTCGCGGCCGCGCGCGCGGCCGCGGCGGCCGCGCTCGCCAAGGACGGCGACGCCGTCGCGGGCGACGACGCGTGGGCCGCGTGCCGGAGCGCGTGCGCGGCGGCGCTCGCCGCGGCGTCCGGCGACGTGTCCTGCAGGACCCAGGCCGACGTCGTCGCGGCCATCGTGGCCACCGTGGCCGCGGACGCGGACGCGACGCTCCGGCTCTGCGCGGCGCGCGAGGGCCTCGCGGCCGCGCTCCGCGACGCGCTGGCCGCGAGCCCGCCCGACGAGGCGATCCTGCGGCGCGCCATCGCGGCGGCGGCGGAGGTCCACGGGGCCTACCCGGCGGCCGTCGCCGCGCCCGCGGAGCTCTGCGCGGGCGACCTCCTGTGTGGAAATCAACCAGTGAGCTGGGACGTCGGGGCCAAACTTCAGAAATCTCTAGCTCGGTCAAATCGAAGTCGATTCGGCTGATTTTTGGACGAATCGATTGCTCTCGTCGAGTTCTCGAAGCACAGCGGAAGGGCTGATCGAAACTGTCGCATATGGGCATATTGAAGTCGTGTTGAAGATTTGATTTCCACACAGGCGACCTCGACCGGTGCGAGGCCGCGCTCGCGCGGCTCCTCGAAGAGCGGCGCCTCCTGGGCAACGTGCTCAACGCGCTCCACCACGAGACCATGTCCCTCGACGACGCCGACGCGCTGCGGGCCTGCGGCGGCGCGTCCGTGCGCGCGTCCGCGCTCGAGCACGCGACGGCGGCCGCCGCGACGTTCGGGCTCACGGACGGCGGGGACGCGCGCGCGCTCCACGCGGCCGAGGCGTTCCTCGACCTGCGCCGGTCGGCGAAGCGCTGCGCCGGCGGGCGCTGGGACCGCGACGCCGGCGACGCGTTCCTGGACGCGGACGGCGCGGTCCGCGCGCTGCTGGGCCACTTCAAGTCCGCCAAGTACGCGCAGCCGGCCGTCGACGCCAAGCTGGGCTGCTACGCCGAGGTCGCGCACCTCGACGACGAGCTGCGGCGCGAGGTCCAGCTCGCCGAGGACGTCGTCGCGGGCTGCTCCGTGCGCCTCGAGATCCTGGACGCGCTCGACAGGGCAGGAAAAGAGAGCGAAATTCCCAACTTCAAAGGCTCCTATCTCGGCCGTTTTCCACTCGTTTCGGCTGATTTTTGGACGAGCGATCATCTCTTGGAACGGCCTCGAAGCGTGGATGCTTTCCCGGAACGCGCGCGCGCGGAACACTCACGTTGAAGCGACGTTGAATCTCTCTTTTCCTGCCCAGGCGCTGGAGACGTGCGCGCGCGACGTCTCCGACGACGCCGCGGTGCTGCGCCTCCGGCGGCGGCTCTACTGCGCGCGCCAGCTCGGCCTCGAGGACTGCGTCGACGAGGCCGCCGTCGAGGACTGCTTCCAGCGCTTCACGGCCGAGGGCGCCGCGCGCGTCGTCGCGACGGCCAAGGCGACGCTCGACACCGTCGACGACTGCCACCGGCGCCTCAAGGCCGCCATCGAGGCCTGCACGCAGGCGGCGCTGAGCGCGGCCCTCGAGGCGGCGTCGGCGCTGAACCACGACGGCATGCTCACGGCCCAGAGCCGCGCGCTGCTCCGGCGGCTCGCGCGTTTGGTCGCGGCGGCCGTCGACGCGCGCAAGTCGCTGGACCGCGACGGCCTCATGCGGAGCGTCGCGGCCGAGGCCGCGGCCATCGGCTTCGAGAACGACGACGTGCGCATCGTCAAGTCCTACCTCGACCTGCCCGAGCCGTCGTTTTTGAAGGTGTGCATGGCGACGGCGCTCGGCGACGACGAGGACGAGCTCGCCGCGGCCGCGTCCCTGCGGCTCCACGCGCACCTCTTCGACGTGGACCTGCCGGCCCACTTCGCCAACGGCGCCGACGGGCGGCCCGCGACGCCCCTCTTCGAGCTCGGCACGTCGCCCGCGCTGAAGACGGCCGCGGAGTTCGTCGAGCTCCGCTTCAGCGACCCCGCGCCGGACTTCGCGCTGCGCAAGGCCATGGCGACCATGCTCGTCTGGGTCGACCCGGCGCTCCACCCGCTGCGGAGCTCGCTGACGCGGCTCGTCGCGGGCGACAAAGACGGCAAGGAGTTGGCGAGAAGGACGTTCGGCAAGATCGCGGGCTTCATGGGCGACAGCGTCAAGCCCCACTCGAACCCGGACGTCCTGAGCGACGAGCTCGTCTGCGACTGCCGCGAGCGGCCGAAGCTCGTCGACGAGGCCTACGCGCAAACCCTAAAACAGCTCAAGCGGAACCCGTCGCCGGCGTCGCGGTCGCGCGGCTGGGAGCTGCTCGAGGCGCTCCTCAACGCCAAGCTCGCGCCGTCGTCGGCCCTCGTGCTCCACGTCGAGAAGGCGCTGCGCTACGACGCGCCGGAGGAGCGGCGCGGCGCGCTCGCGGCCGCGCTCGTGCGCACGTGGTTCGAGTCGCGCGTGCTCCGGCCGCGGCGCGCGCTGGCCAAGTGCCTCAGCGGCTGGCTCGAGAAGGACGTGCCCCCGGCGCACCTGCGGTCCCTGGCGGCGTCGACGCGGCGCCGCCTCCGCGACGCGGAGCCCGGCGCGCCGCCGCCGCGCGCGCCCGGGACCGTCGAGGACCGGCTCCGCGAGAAGCGCCGCGCGAAGCGCCGCTTCTTCCAGCTCAAGGACCAGGCCCTCGCCTACTACGACGCGCCGCCGAGCGCGACGTCCAAGCCCCTCGGCGTCCACCGCCTCGCGCACGTCGGCCGCGTCTGGGCGCTCTGGGCCGACGACTCGCCGAGCCGGTTGAGCTTCCCCTTCGTCGTCGACAAGGTCGGCCACGCCCGGGGCGCCCTCGTCCTCTCGGCGCCGTCCGCCGAGGAGCGCGCGTCCTGGATGGCGTCCCTCGAGGCCGCGCGCGACGCGCCGTCCGAGCCCGAGCCGCCCGCGGGCTCGGCCTGGCTCCGCGCGCTCGACCACAAGACGGGCAAGGCCTACTACTGGAACCGGTCGTCCCTCGCGACGACGTGGGACCCGCCGCCCGCCGCCCTCCAGCAGTGACGGCCCGCGCGCCGCGTCGCGCGCGGACCCCCGCCCCCCCCCCCGAGGTCGCCCGGCTCCTTTTTCCACCGACACAGTCATGTTAATGGTGGCAAGCGACCACGCGCGTCCGCGCGAGTTGGACGCGCCAGGGGCTCCTAGGACGCTCCCAGCTTCATCGAGACGCTCAGTCCGTCAGGAACCGGCGTCTGGGGACCGCTTCTGCTAGTACTAACTTTTACTAGTAGTTAGCCGCGGCGCCAAGGGAGGAATAGAAGGGGGACTCAGTCTAAATTAAAGCATGTCCTTCCCGACGCCCACGGGGCCGGCGACCTGCGGTTGGCCCGTCACGGGGTCGATCCCGGGGGGGTTCTGCGGCTTGAAGACTGTGTAGGCGCCAAAGACAACGGCCGACGCGAGGAGGAGGGCACCACTGCCGGCCGCAGCGATGACGACCACGGGGAGGCCGTCGTCGTCATCGTCGTCTACGGTCAAGTGATCATCTCCGCGCTCGCCGCAGCATTCGCAGGTGACATCGATGATCGAGTCCTGATAGTCGTATGTGAAACACGGTTTTACATGTCGAAGGAATTGCAACAGGCCTCGCAGGACCCTCGGGCCAGGTCTTCTTCCTCCGTCGTGTAGGCTCGACTCTCGTAAGTGCTTTTGACGTTGTTTTCGCAGTCCAATCCACCAGGATACCCGATTGGAATGATGCTCACGGGGACAGGGGTCCAAGGCGTGACCGTGGGCTGGGGCGTGGGACGAGGCGTGGCGATGGCACCGGTGCACTCGCATGAATACGTCGACACGCCGTTGTAGGTCGACGCCCGCCAGTCGCGCTGCGCGCCACAGCAGTTCGAGCAGGCTTCGTTTGCGTCATCATACGAGATGCCCCCAGGGAAGACGATGTTCGTACAGTCGACCGCCCAGGGTGTCGGCATTGGCGTCGGTTCGGGTGTCGGCCGTGGCGTCGGCTCGGGCGTCGGCTGCGCCTGAGGCGTCGGCTCGGGCGTCGGCCGAGGCGTCGGCGGGTGCCAGAGGTTACAGTCCTGCTCTTCCTGACCTATGGA